GCATATGGAGGCAATGTTGAACACGGTGGACAGCATCCCGCCCGGTGGAACTATCGATGAGAACGACGCCATCACCGACCTCGCCCACCCACACCGTTCCACGTCTTCTTCCCCGTGGGCGTTGTGGGCGACTTTTTGTGTGTCTTCTTCCTGCACTGCCTCAGGGGGCAGCGGTGGCTCGCTCGTTTGTATCGATGGCGTCGCCTCCCCTGCGGCCCTCTCCAACAGCGGCCGTGCGCCATCTTCTTGGTTGACGGGGGCGTGTGGCCCACCCACGGCCTCGGGAGGCGCGGTGCGGGCTTCGTGTGTCATTCCGTGACAAATACACCCGGCGAGTGCCTCTTCGCTTTCCTTTCACCCTGAGAACGCAAACTAGTGAGAGCGCAACGTGGGCAGGGAGAGAAGGCAAATAAGCAAGGAGGGGTGGGGGCATGTGAGTGGGGCCCTGCAATTGTGCAGCCACTGGCGCTGGGTGCGGAGTAAAGGTGGGAGGTTAACGCATTATCTCGTGTGCCGCACATCGTGGGCGGTTAAGGCTGCACTGACCACTACCGCTGGAAGGTCGCGGCGAAGTACAGTAAGGCAAGAGGCCTCTGTGCTTCTTCCTGCAGTGACGAGGCAAGAACGGCGCGCATGTGACGGAACATGTACGGCGTGCCAACGCGGCAGGCACGCCGGCGCAGCTTGCCACCGTCCCCCAAATTCATAACCTCCTGCGTACGTGGGGCTCGTCTGTTTGTGTGTTTCCGCCGTTGTGCCCCCGCACCACCACCACCGCCCTTCACACGAGGGAGAGAACGGGGACGTGGGCCACTGGGGCGAGGGGGCGCAACGGCGGAAGCGCACAAACGTGTTATGTGTTATGAGAAAACAGGGAAGGAGGGGGGGGGGGGGGGGAGGGGGGGAGAGATGCTCCCACGTTTCGGTCCTTATGTTTTTGCCGCCTCAATCTGAATGCCCACTCCATCCGGCAGTCCCAAAGGACCACTACACACACACGCAGGAACAACGACCAAACAAAATGAAAATATCATTATTACATGGAGCGACGCACAGAGACGCACACACACACACAAAAAAAGAAAATTGTATGCTGTAATACGTGTGCGTTGCTTCCAGCGTTCCGCGTGACTTATTCCTCTCGCCGTCCACGCGTCAATTACCGGCCTTACACTTAAAGTTCGCTTTTCAAAATAATTCGTTTTGATATAAAAACACACATACAACAGAGAAGTAAAAACAAAAACAAAAGAACGAGATAACAAAAAAAAACCATGAAGAATATTCAAAACATTCCACGCTGCCGTCGTCGGTCTAACCCTGGATGGTGGAGTAAATGGTGGCGCCCGTGCCAAACACAACGCCAACGACACCCGCCACCAGCATCACGTACGTGAGGATGTAGTGGAAGGCGCCCACTTTCTTCCATGTCCAGTCGCCCGAATACATCACAAACAGCGCCGGAAGGAGAAACCCCAGAGAACCACCGGTGATGGAGCCTGCAAAGCCCAACACAATGTGGACCTTGGGGATGAAAAGGCCAAAGATAAGCATGAGGAGCGAAAGAAACGTCACGGCAATGCAGTGCTTCCAGTAGGGCAACTTATCCACGTCCCAACCGAGACCGTGGTAGATGGCATTGCGTGCGGCCATGAAAAGCAGCGCGTAGGAGGCGCACAGCTTTGAGAGCACACCAATGTACGCCACCAACACCTCCGGCTCATCGAGTGGGTTGTACATGAGCAGAATGGAGCCGTCCACCTTCTTGCCAAAGTCCATGTAGCCGAAGAAGCTTGTCATGCAGTACAGCAGGAAGCAGAGCGTCATGCCAATGCCGGCGGCGAGCGTGAACCGCGTAAGCGTGGGGTTCTTCATGTCCCAATACACCTCAAACGCATTAATTTGACAAACGTAGGCGAACATGAAGACGCCGAGCCCCTCGATTGCCTTGTTGCCGGAATTGAAGAGCACCACAGCGGAGTTGTCATCGTTGCCCATGCTGGCATTGTGGATGTTTTCCGGCAGCCCGTGCGTGCAGGAGTGCACCACAATCACCACGACGAAGTAGATGATGAAGGAGACCGCGAAGGTGGAAAAGTAGCGAAGCGAGTCGATGTGCTTCGGGATCACCAACGGCATCATCGCGCAGAGCCACACAACGACTGTCAGCAGGCGGTTGCCAGCCGTTGTCTTCAGAAATTCCGGCGCGCTCTGGCTGCTCATCAAGACGTTCTTGAAGATGTCGTTGACGCTGATCACGTACGCGACGCAGCCGCTGAGCCCATGGAAGACGCGGACCGACGCAACAAACAACGCAAACCAGCGGCCCATCAGTACTACTGCCATGGCCTCGAAGTTGCTGATCTGCGTCCGCTGCGCCGCCACGCCGAGGCAGTACATCGAGTAGACAGTCAAAAACGTGATAATCGCAAGGTACACGATGGCCATCACGGCCCCACTTTTGTTCGCGGCCAGGGGCAGACCGAGGATGCCGGCCCCGATCGACGACGACGCGAGGTTGAAGGCGCTCGCAAGAATTCCTCCAGGTGGAATCACGACGTTCACGCACGCGCTCAGCTTCGTGAGAAGACCGTTGGGAGCCGGCGACGGGTTCTCAGACAGCGCATTTGCCTCCTCTTTCTTGACGACGCTGCCCTCATGGTAAGTAGAGGGCTGCAACGAGAAAGTGCCGTCGTTGGGATGTGTGCCCCTCGTGCCGGGGGCTGCGGCGGTAGGCGGGTGCATAGCGGTCAGCGTTGTCTCTTCGTTGCCGGTCGTGCGCATGTGATTGCTTCTCTCTCCAGGGGCTTTAGCTTACTACAGTTGCGACGAGAAGAGGTGGAAAGAGAG